CGCTGCTGCAGTACGACGCCGACGGCGAGCCGGTCTTCGTCGCCATCGTCTCCACGGGCGCCGGCTGCCCGACTTCCCCGGCATCTACATCCGCACGGCCGCCTTCCGCACGTGGATGGAGACCGAACTGCGCCTCGCTTCACGCCCGCCACCGAGACCGCGCCCGTCTTCCTAGAGAAGTCCGGCCTCGCTACCGGCGCCGTCGTCGCGGCGCGGCCGCCGTCGTCGAGGTAGCTGGCGCTCCCTCTTCCACATCTCATCCCCCGTCTCCACCCGGCACCGCCTCGCCACCCCATCAGCACGTGCACCCTCTCCGCGAGCGTCCTCGTCCGCCGCACCAGCCGCTCGTTCTCGCGCTCCACGCCGTCTTCCACGCCTCCCGCACCTTCTTCCTCTCGCGGCTCCGCCTTGCGCTCACCTGGTTCCGCGCTCGCCCTCGGCACCGCTACGCGCGCCGCCATCGCCGCCTTCGCTGCCGCCTCACACACACACATGACGAAGAAGAAGACAACGTCATTTTCAGCTGCAGGCAACAGTGTTCGCGCCATGCGCGTTCGGCGCAAGCAACTCGAGCGCGACCAGCGGCAACGGAGGCCCTCCACTGCCCCCGCACGCGTGTCCAACCCCGCTTTCTCGCCCCTTCCCACCCTGCCTGCTCCTTCCTTCTCCTCCGCTCGTCTCCCAGCACCTCCCGCTCCACTGTCGCCGCTGCCATCCCCCGCCCTCTCCGCTACCTCTCCTGTCTTCGTCGCCCCTTGCCCCCTCGTCCTGCCTGGTGTACCAGCCCGCCCCTCCGTGCCCTGCGACTTATTGAATGCGTGAAATGGGAAGCTTCTGTGGAAGGCAGCTCAAGCTGCTTCTCCAAGATGTACTATCTACGCAATGCCCTCGAAAAACTTATGTCCAGAATGGTGATCCGTATGGGCTGTCGCATGGTGTAGCATAACCGCCAACTACTGTACTATATATTAGATTTAGAATTAGATCTAACGCTGTAAGGTACGGACCTTACAGAGTGCGCGCGCGCATACCTTACAGCGCGCGCGCATTAACACGTGTACCCCCCCCCGTGTAGCACACGTGTGCTGTCAGCCCCGACGGCTGACAGCGTTACAGTGCGGGCCGGCCCGCACTGTCTACAGTAAGCCGACTACAGTACAGTCCGTACTGTACTGTAGACGGTTAATTAACTTGTACAATAAATATAAGGAGCGACCGCCGGCGGGGAGGGGAGGACAGGCAACCCTCCACCGACAGTCGACCACCCAGCTTACTCTACTCACGCCGCCGTTCCGCGAGTAGTTACCACCGAGCGGGTAGTGGACGCGCGCGACACCGCGGCGAGCTGCGATCCGCCTCCGCCCGTCAGTACCGGATCGTCAACCGGTACCGCTCCGGGGCGTCGAGGCGTCGATCCACTCGCCTACGCGCGCGTCCCCGCCGACCACGCTCTACCACCCGCTACCGGCCCGCTTCCGGTGGCGTTGGTTGGTTCAAGACCCTCGGTACGCCGATCCGGGGTCTTCCGCCGAACATCTCGAACACCCTCTCCGCCGGGTGTGGGGTGTTTATGCGACACATGGAGCCCTTTGACTGCATAGAGGGGTGTATTTGTGAGAGTTTACCACGCCAGGAGGGTCGACAAGTGAGGGCCAGATATCAACGAGAACAGCAAAACGCCGAGCACCCCGACCTCTCTTTGTGAACTCTATTCTACATGAGTGAAAACGCGTTGACAATGAGTCAAATCCGTGAGTGGCTGTGCACGTAGGCCTCCCGGTCGCCTGGCCCACAAGTTCATGTCTCTGTTTCAGGCCAGTAGGCTTCAAGACTGAGGAAAAGAGAATTGAACCATTTTGCCGCATGAGTGACGTTTATCCTCTCACTAATGACAATCATCACGGGCTTCTAGCTACAGTGGTGACACACCTTGAACAAATTGCGCTGTAGTGAGACCTCGCCGCCTTCCATTCCCTTGCCGTGCGGCTCGTCCCGCTCCTTCCCGCCTTGCTTCCCCCCTTCAGCGCCCGCACGCCTCTTCCTCACCAAGCCCCCAATGCCTTGCGCAAACCTGATGCGCTCCCCGCAGCCTCCACACTCAGAAAGAATCCCAACGCTGCTAGGGAATCTTATGAATCTCTCCTGCAATGAAGACGGGGCTGCCGACGACCCACCTCCCTCACCCATCGCGTCCTCCGACCGTCCAACTGTCCCGTCTCCATCCGCCCGAAGACACGACTCAGATGCCGAAACGAGGCCTCCCCCCTCACCCGCTGACGTCCCAAGCTGCCAACCGGCCCCTCAGACACTGATAGCCTTCTCTGCCTCTTCTGCGCGCCCACTTTCCTTCTCCGCCGAGCTCACCGCCCTCACGGCAACTCTGATTCATCACAGTGCGCCGAGCCGACCAACTCAATCCTCCGTCGACAGTCTTCCGCGCTCTACCCTGTCCCCTAGCACGCAATAGCCACTTTACTGTATTAACGTATTGTAAAACTAAGTACTAAATGCAAGTAAAGCCCAGCTTGTCGTATGGATTCTCATCAATCTTGTCGTCGATACCAAGATATTTGATCATCTCTTGAAGGTCTGTCCATCCAAACTGCATCATGATGTCCCGCAGGCCCCACCCAAGAACGTAGTGATGGTACTGGGCGCCTCGGCAACGGGCTGAATGCTCTGTTAGCCGACCCGCTGTTCCAATTCTATTGCTCATGTAGGATAGAGTCTCTCTATAAGTAGAATGGGACATGCGCACTCCTTCACGCAAAGCGCCGCCTTTAAATGCAAGAAACAGGGGACCTCTTCCAATCTTGTGCACCATCAACACAGCAAGCCACCGATGCAGGGAATGCAGAGGACATATAGAAACATGTACGCCCCTGGAGAACTTGTAGTACCTTGTACCAGTACCCGTTTTTGTGAAGGGCAACACACCGAATATTGGTGAGTCGAGAGCAGAACCAGGGAAGAAAACGTCTTCTAAATCAAGGTTCAGAATCTCGTCCGCTCGTGCGACGCTTCCCCATTGCATAACGTTAAGCGTGCAGGCTTCAAACGCCTTGAAGTCAAATAAATCTGCCTTAGTTGGTAGCACGCCTCTCAAAACACGAACGCTGACGTCCTTTATATACATATTGTACAAACTCTGGACGTCTTTGTGCGTCTCGGCGAGGGCACGCTCGATGATATTGACCTTAGCTCTTGCTTGATCATTCTCTAGACGCTTGAAGACCTTCTTTAGCTGTGCAGCGCGGCCATGGTTGCCTCGAAAGCGTCCCTCGCCGAGCTCAACGTAGTCGCCCTGTACATGACGGCACTCGAATCCCGGGCTGCACTCAGCGCAGTCGAGAAGGTTGAACGCTGCTGTCACGGCGCTAATTATAGCGCCGCCAGTAGACTTGGACTTGTTGTCGCTGTAGTGCAATACGCACCTGGAAAGGGGGGTGAAAAGAAAGGAAAATATTTGGATATGAAAAGTAGTCCGGGTTGGGGGACACACGTGTGAATAATTGCACAGTTTTAATTTTTAATTGTTTCATTTTATTTAGTTAATTAGTTGGCATTAATTTTGCTTACAATAGATTAGATCTAGGATCTAGCGCCGCGAGCTACTGTAGTGGCTCCGGCGGGGCGATTTATACCTTAGCCCTCTGACCCCCAAGTCAGTAAAGGTAACCCGAGTTGCCAGAGTTGAATATCGCCTTTGTCGAAGTCTGTCTTTCCCAAGACGCTCTCTTTTACCACAGATTACGTTATCCTTTGCGCTCGGGGGTTCCCTTTTTCTTTTTCCTTTATTTCCCTATTCTTTTCTACTTCTATCTCTATTTTTCCCTTAATTGTGTTGGTTCCACTGGAGTTGGTTGCGACGGATCCGGTGTAGGTGTTTTAGCCATCGGGCAACACGTTGTGTTGCGCTGCTACTGTTTCAAGTTCCGTCGGAAGGCTGTTGCGACGACGCCTCCGTCGAAGGTCTTACTGTACAAGACAGAGTTGGTACCACCTACCGCGATTGCGATCGCGCTGGTGAGGGTGTTTTTAGCCATCGGGCAACACGTCGTTAGTAGCGTTGCTACACGGTTACGATCCCGTCGGGTAGTGCTGAACAAGCCCCCGTCGAAGACCTTGAATTATACACAAGGTGCTGAAGACGCTCGTCGAGCATTGGCCTTACAACCCAGCGAACGGCGGTTACATCCTCGTAGACAAGCCCGACCGGCACTCGTCGAGCGCCCAAGTCTTCACAAGTCTCTACCACCATTATCCTCCCGGGCCGGGCATCTTTCCTTAACCCCCCGTCGGAGTCGAGCTACCGTGGGCCGCAAGCCCACACAAGGGGAAAGGGAGTCTCGAACGCTCCGTAGCGCGTGCCATCGGCAGTGGTTGTTGCTGTTGTTGTTTTTCTTCTTTTTGTTTGACCGTCGGACTGTGTTCGCGGCCTGCCAGGCACATTGCACTACAGTCGCCAAATCTCTCGTCGACGACGAATCCACAGCGGCTCATTACGAACGCAATTGCCACGCCGACTGGCGACTGATCTCTGCTCCTCTTTCTGACAGGGTGAAAAGGTCTGAGCGGGTCATCGATCGGCGCCTCCACCTCGCGCATGGCATCGCCGAAGGCTTTGATCGTGGTCTTGTACCGCGCCATGGAAGAGTCGGCGAGCGGTTGACGGAGCTTCGCTTGTCCGGCGGCGAGTGCTGCGTCTAGCTCGGCCCTGTCGGGCTGGTGACCCGATCGACCACGGCGTCCCCCGCGGGGTCCCGAGTGCCACCGCCAGAGCTACCGCCGCGCATCGGATTGGGCCGAGCGACGGGTTCTTTTGTGCGGGGGTCGAGGCCGATGAGATTGCCGACGGTGCGGGCGTCAGCGAGTGTGGCTCGCGAGACTAACGAAGGGGCTGCGAGTCCTGTACCGGCAGTCGCGAGAGTGAGGATGGAATACGAGAGTACTGTATGGGGAGATCACATGCGCAGTTGAGGGGAGACGTTGCTTTGTAATTAAAATTGGACCAAACAGATCATCATTGAATTGACCAGAGTGTCCATTACATCATACTCACGCTCGTGTCCTTGGCGGACGGCAACAACGACCTGGAGTACGCGCACCTCATGACACGCCTGGCCGTGGAGACCGTGACCGTGCGACAGGTCGAGGACGTCGTGCTGCACGTCGTGTACTCTGGCCTGGTCAGGGCTAGGATGGATCACAGGGAGAGCCGCGTCCAGATTTTCAGCGCCGTCTGGAGGGATGTGCTGCCGCCGAGGGGGATCGCCGATATGATCGCCGTGCTCAAGGGCTGGGCGCAGCGGTCGACGGAGCTGGTGGATGAGATCGATGATAAGACTCATTACATTGCGAGTCGTACGGCGCGTGTGAAGAAGATCAAGACGGAGGCCAGCCGCAGGGGCCGCCGCATGCCGAACATGGGCATTATCCGCTGAGCCGCGTGCGAGAAGGGGGCGTCTTGTTGGTTTCATTTTATTCGCAGTCAAACTCGATTTCGTTGCCGAGCAGGACGTGCGCCGCGAACACCCAGATCGACCCCCACACAAAGTACTGGTACCATCTTGTCCGTTCGTCCTCGGACTTGCTTTCCTCCGCCCACTTGGACGAGTCGCGCACGCCCGACTCGTCAGGCGCGGTGTCCCGCGCCTCGTCCTCGACATGTTTTCACCGCGCCTCGAGCACGCTGTCGCCGTCCAGCTCGCCGACCAGTCGCTCGCCGTCGCGCCAGAAGTACTGCTGCTGCACGCGGCTGACAAACGAGACGACGTTTGTGGCCACCTGCCTGCTGCAGCGGGATGTATAGCAGTGGCGCGAGGAAGCCAAACGCGATCGCGTCTAGCACGGACCGCTCGTCTTGGCAAAAGAAGCGGCTGCGGTCGCCGACCCGGGTCGACAGCGCGCCGAGCGCCATGCCCGCGGCCAGCTGCGCGCACAGCCGCCGCCGCTGGAGAAACAGCAGCACGCGGTTGAGCGGGGACGCCGTCTCCTTGGAGAGCAGCGTGTGGTAAATGTCGGCGTAGTCCTTGTCGTTGAGGTAGAGCTCGTGCGACAACGCGGGCCCGAAGCGGGCCGTGATGAGCATGGCGAACGCGCTCGATTCGACGATCATGAACGGGGTCAGGTGCGCGTTCGCGTCCGGCAGGGCCAGGTCGGCCGTGAGAGCGCGGCGACGGCGACGCGCCGGGATACACGCAGAACGGGATGTCCGTGAAGCATAGCAGCGCGATCGCCGCGAGGGAGTCCCGGTCGATCGTCTGCAGGCCCCACCCGCCGGCCGGCGTGTAGATGCGCGCCGTGACTCGATAGGGGCCGGGAGGGGCGGGGAGGGGACTGGGAGATAGAGAGAGGAAGGGAAAGTGAGTTGTGGTGCGGAGCGAGTGGTGGTGCAGAGCGAGCGGTGTGACGGTGGTGATGCGGCGGTGTGGCGGTGTTGTGCGTTGTGTAAATTACGGGAAATCTCGCTTCCATCCTCCATGTCAACACCATCAACCACAAGTGACCACCATCCGACTTTGATCACCGACCCCCTACTCTCCCCCGGCTTCCTCCCTCTGTCCCTCCCCTCCCGCTTCCTCTGTACCTCACCTTACCAACTCCCTCCCCCGCCCCACTCGCCCGCGCCGCCCTTAAATGCGTCTCCCATTCATGGAACATCCCCCCTCGACATTCTCTGCAAAGTCGCCGCCACGGAGACCGCCCAACCCCGCTCTTCCGCCCCTCCCCGGACCCGTCCCCT